ATCATTTTGTTGGTTTCCTCTCCATTCTGATCCCTTGATTAAGCCTAACGCAAATTGATATGCTTATTGCACAGTTGTGATTTATGATAAAAACAAATAGGATGGAAATGGAAGCTACTAATAAATTATGTTGATTCCAGGTACTAACCCTTTGGTTATCAACAACTTGCAATCACATGTTCCCCCATGTAAAACTTTCCAAGGTACTTCACTGACACGAAGACATGAAACCAGATCAAAATTGATATTGAAGTGATGAAGGAGATTGGTGACCAAAAGCTTGATCAAAGAGCTAAGTTTTAAGGAGTGTCTTAAATGAGCAGAGAGGTTTAAGGCAGAAATTATGGAGCTGAGAGTTTAGCCACCTGGAGGCACAATCACCAACAGTGAAACTCAGAAACGTTTGTGAAGCCTGAATTGGAGGAGCAGAGATATATGGCAACATTATAGGTAATATTCCCTCTACACTATATATCCACAAGCAACCCAAAGATTCCCTCACAAGTTGCGCAAACTGCCTCCTTTAAGGTTGTGCACCACTCAGCCTCATAAAATAATTCAAAGGGTCCACACACTTAGAAGACTTGATCACAGGCTGCAGAAGATAGTTAGGGCAAACATTGGTAGTGTGGAGGATTACAGATACCAGGAGGTGAGGCCAAGGAGGGATTTGGAAACAAGGATGAAAACTGTAATATCGACGTATTGACAGACCAGGAGCCAATATAGATTTGCAAGCACAGGAGGGGATGGGTGAACGAGAGCTAGTGCAAGTTAGGATGTAAGCAGCAGAGTTTTGAATTAACTCAAGTTTATGGAGGGTGTAAGGTGAGAGGTCTTAATTTTGAAGTATCAATACTTGATTATTTTGCTTTCTGTTGACATCATCCAGATCTGGTTGAGACCAACAAAATCTTATCTATTTTGGGAAGTTTGAAATTCAGGTTCCCCTGTCAAGATTCCAATGCTACAGCTATGTAGCTACTAGTCTGCCCCTCAGATTCCAAATTCTTCTCTTGTTATTAATCTGGGACTAGAAGATATGATTTCCATAGGTGAAACACCATGCTCTGTCACCAGATGGCAGTACCAAGCTCTGTGAGGGCAGTCAGAGAGTGGATCCTTACACTGACTGCAGTGAACTCTGGCAGGCCTTGGGATATGTTTGATTGCGGTACTCAGATACCCCCTTGTGGTGATATTCGCACAATGAACGTGGAAGAGCTAGCTTCAGAACAGAGTGAACTAGCGTAGAAGGAAGGTTATTCAGCCCAACACGTCTGTGCCAATGCTCCTCAATTAGTCTCACTGCCCTTTCCCCATAGCCTGGCACATTTTCATTTCAAGTAGAGATCCAATTCCCTTTGAAAATAATGATGTAATTTTATTACAGCACCAGTCCAGATCACAACTTCCCACGTAAAAATAATTCTCATAGAGTCATTGAATCATACAGCACGGAAACAGACCCTTAGGTCCAACCAGTCCATGCTGAACATAATCCCAAACTGAACTAGTTCCATCTGCTTGCTTCTGGTCCATATCCCTCCAAAACTTTCCTATTCATGTACTTATCCATGTGTTTTTTAAACATTGTAACAGTACTCACATCCACCATTTCCTCAGGAAGTTCATTACACAAGAATCATCAAAACTCTTTCTTTGGCAATTACCTTAAATCTGCATTTTCTGTTTACTGGTCCTGCCATGAGAAATTGTTTCATTCTATTGACTACATTTTATAGTGTTGAGCATCCTTATTAAACTCTCTTCACCTTTTCTATTCAGTTTCTCCACGTAAAAGAAGTTTCTTGCTCTTGGTACTGTCACTGATTAACAGTTGCTTACACAACATAATTTCCTGCCGATCACACTCATAAAGTACATTATCTTGCAAACGAAGCAAAATTGTAGAAGTTAATTTACTGTCTTAATTCATTTATATAGAGCCTCTCATTTAACAAAGAGAAAGCAGTGGGCACAGAGCAAGGAAGCTGAGGGGGTAACTTATAAAGAGGGACTGAAATTTGATAATGATGTGGAGAGAAAAGGCGGTTCACGACACTGAAATTATTTCTTTTTTCTGTTTTATACCTAAGATTTTGTGCCTAGGTACTTTTGTACCTAAGATGTAGCCAGGAATGGTAACTTTGTATACTTTTCACTGCACTTTTGCATCCCTGTACTTGGGTACACATGATAATAAAATCTAATTCTAATATAGAGCTGAAGATTGGTCTTTAAATTATGTGGGATAATGTAGGGAAAATGTGTGATGGGTTGAAAGGAGTTTGTATGGTGGGACATAGGATTAAGATTTGATTGTAAGGTGTATGGTAGCACTATTGAAGGATCTTCACGGTGGAAATTAGGATTTTGAAGTTTGTATATTAAAATATTTTATTTTAAAGTATAATTTTATTCAAAAATCAATAAATAATGTGAATTTCAAATCTTGTTACTTCCTCACAAACATGTTGCTGACCATCAACAGGTAATGGAAGAACCCATCTGCTTGTGCTATATGAATGTCTTATTAAATAGTACATTTATGTTCTGGTTAGATACATGGTCCTCTCTGTATAATCTATAGTTAGTTCTGAAAGCTTTTTAGACCTTCTTTTGTTTTAACAATGTTTAATAAGTTTGTTTTCAATTTGTCTGTTGACTTCTATACCACCTGACCCACAATGACCTGTGTCATTTATTTCACTGACCTGTTCCAATCTCAGAGAACCGTTTGAGTCAATTTGAGGCAGTGACTGAGATTTCCATTTGATTAGTTAATGTTACAACAGCTGTTCCATCTGCCCAGTAATATATGTGTTCTTTAGATGATCAGACAGGAGTCACACTGAATTTATAGTTAGGTCAATGCACTGCAATAAACCAATGATTCCAATATCGTCACCTTCCAAGTTGAAGCTCTCACAGACTCAAACTTAGAGTCTGTTGTGTAAGGGTTTCAAGATTGTGGACCAAGTTTGTGATACTGTTCTGGAACTGCACGTAGTTAGTGTAAGTGACACAGTGTGGGTGGAGTTAGTCAAGACTACATTAAATTACATTACACTAGAACATTACAGTCTTGCCAATACAAGGACATGAACAACTGAAGGAGATAGATTAACCCTTAACTAATGTAACTATAAGATTAGAGCATGGAGTAGCTACGATTAGCATTGTATATAAGATCTTAACGTATAATGTATTAATATATAATAAAGTGTTAATTTTAGGTCTAAGCCTGAAGACAGTTCTTGACTTCACTTTCTCCTGGATCTGTCTGTCTCATAACATGATACCAGACCACATGATTAAAGAGAGTCCAAAGCCATCTGGATCTGGCAACAACCCACACCCTTGACTTTCTGAATGTACAAAGGGGCTTTGTAGTTGCGATTCTGGAACTTTATGGCTTATATGACAGCCAAACGCTATACTGAGCTTCATTACAGTTCCTATCTGTACACTGTGCCACTTTTCCTCTTGAAATTGTCCCTCAATGCGCACACTTCCTAACCACTGAGCTGCATAGGAGCCGACCATTCAGCCCACAGTTTTGTTCTACAGTACAACTGCACCATGGATGATCTGTCCATCAACTCCATCTACCTACTCTAAAAGCAAAAATCCCATTTAAAATAAACTCCACAAAATGAGCTAAAAGATCTGAAACCCAGATTTTTTACATAAGCCTTATGTACTTTTAAAGATCCACAAGGGATGTAGGATCTTCAACATTCACACAACTTAACTGCAAGATATGTTCTTTTCTGCTTGTACCCTTCAATTGTAACAAAGCCTGGTCTTTGCAACCATATTTTGGAACATTGCATGATAACCTCTTGAGGGAGTTTATTGACTTTTATGGGCAGTAAAGATTAGAGCTGGCATGCCATCAAGTAGAAACTGGCTACACTCTGTACTACTGCAGTCATACCACTTCCAGTCAGGAATCTGAGGGCAGAGTCAGTCAGAAAGGATAAAGAATCAGCAGCAAATCCCCAGCTTAGTGAGAGAGGAGAAAATACTTATTACTCATTCACAGGATATGGGCTCATTTGATCATGCTCCCAACTCCACTTTCTTGTCGATCCCCCCACCTCCGGACCCTCAACTCCTTTGCAGTTACAAATCTAATTCAGCCTTGTCAGCAATCCACAATTGTCCTTGAGAAGGTGGTAGTCAGTTGCTTCCTTGAATTATTGCAGTCCATGTGATGTAAGGACACCCAAAGTACTGTTTGGAAAGGAGTTCCAGGATTTTGACCCAGTGATAAAGAAGGAAAGGCCATGTAGTTCCGAATCAAGATGGTGTGGCTCTGTGGGGATCTAATAATGATGCGTTCCCAGGTATCTATTGCCTTTGTCTTTCTATTTGGTAGAGGTCCCAAGTTTGGAAAATGCCATTAACGAAGCTTTGGTGAGTTCTGGCAATACATCTCATGCCAACCCAAATTGACCCAGAGGCCAGCAGAGAAAGAGAAAGGAACCCAAGCTAGGTGAAATTTAAATGATTAACTAGTTTCACAGAAATCAATGCTACAATTAGAAAAATCTCCATTTAATTTGTTCTAAAATAAAAGCAACTGTGTTAAAGAATCAAATTACATGTTTTCTTTATCAATTACTCTGAGCTAACCTGATGAATATGAACAAATTGAAGTAGGAATAGGTGTTTAAACCCAACTGCTAAGGCAGCAAATCTATATTCATGGACTATGTGGTAAACTGAAGATATTAACAGCTTGGACAGTAGCTGGTAGACTGTGAGAATTCGTAAAATTCTTTTTTTGTTTTTCAGACCATTGGCTAATAAGGGTGTTTTTTACTTTTGCCCTATTTTACTATCATTCCTGCAAAGTCTTTGCTCTTTGTTGTGTGTGTGTATATTGGGTTTAAAAAGGGATTTCATTCTAATTCGAGATTATATCTTGAATATTAATCTGTTTTGCTGCTTGTTTTAGAAAGGAGTTGCATTTTATAGTAAACAGAATATTTTTGTGTTCATTAAACAAGGCTGGCAGAAATCTTTTATTGTGGATAGCTGTACCGAATGTGAACAATGGGCCATTTTTGTGATTGAATCTAAACACTTCTACCAATGCAGTGATTCACAGAGCTTGATTCCAAGTGTATCTCCACAATTCATGTCAGAACACAATAATTGACATCACATTCACTCACAGGGGACACTAACAGCTTGCATTTATGTAGTGCCTCTAGCTGACTAAAAGATCCCAAGGTGCCTCTTGGGTGATTTATGAAACAAAGCTTGACACCAAGTCACACCAAAAGATATTAAGACATAATCGAAAGTTTGATCGAAGAGTTAGGTTTTAAGAAGTGTCTTGAGAGAAATAAAGACAGGAAAGGAGATGGAGAAATTTAGGGCAAAATTTAATGTTTACAACAAGGGTCTCCACTGGGGAAGGTCCTTCAGCAGTACATGCCCATCACTTGTTGAGGTGGCTAGCATCGAGCATTTCCTGGGACGAAGAACCCTTGGGGAGAATTTCAGTCAGTGAGAGGTGCAAATTTTAATGAATTTAAGAGATTTAAAGTGTTTTGCAAAAAAGAAAGCAAGTATGAGACAGAAAGGCTTTTTCAAAGTGAGTGGTTTGCATCTGGTACGAGCTGTTCAGAAGTGCGGTGGAGGCACAAGGTATTTAAGAGGACTTCTGGTGATTATTTAAATAGTAGTAATGTGCAAGATTACAGGGAAAGGGCAGGAGCATTGCAATAAGTCTTGCTGCTCATTTGGATAGCTGGTGCAGACACAAAAGACTGAATGGCCTCCTGCACTGTGACAGTTCTGTGAGTTAATCTTTGCAACTCTCCATAACACATTGTACCACCAGATACAATGGGTGGCAGCTGCTAGCGACACACCCATCAGAGTCAGTGAGGAATCCAGTTTAAGGGTGAATGAGGTGGGATGAGGGCCATGGAGATGGGGGAAAGTGGTCAGCAGAAAAGGCAGGATTACAGCTGTCAGGAGAACCCCCTCCTCAGTGTCACATTCCTTGGTCAGACACTGCTTGCCTTTGACCAGGAATCTTCCAGAAGTCTGTAAGCAAAAACCAAAGGGACTTTATTTCTCATAGGGTGACTCACCCTCTTGTTGCTGGGCAAGATGTGCAGATCAGGTGGATTGGCTATGCTAAATTGCCCATAGTGTCTAGGCATATGTAGGTTAAGTGATTAGACATAGGATATGTAGGGTTATAGGGTAGGGAGGCTAGGTCGGAAGGTCAGTGTGGATTCAATGGGCTGAATGGCCTGGTTCCACACTGCAAGGATTCTATAATTTCTAAATACCAGCAGCAGCCAATAATACTGGAAATTTGTTGCTCATTTAAGGGGCTTAATTCATGCCTCTACAGGGATCCATCAGCATCCTACCCTTAATCAACAGAGATGAAAACCTGGCTGAGTTTGGGGTGGGGTGGGGTGGGGTGGGGGGCATGCGCAGGTCACCTCCCACCTGATTAACTGCCTGCTCCCACCCCCATGCCGCCACAATCACTGCCTAGGGCCATTAAATTTTGCCCTTAAAAAGGGAACTCCAGGGCAAGTCTAGACCGCTGAAGACACAGACACTTTTAATGCAGCAATTAAAATCAGGGATACTCAAGAGGCCAGAAGTTGCTGTTGCAAATAAGGCACGTTAAATGGAACTTGCACAGGGCATGTATATTAAAATACAACCTATAATTAAAGAAACTGGTTTGAGGTGTTCACGTAAAAGCAAATTATATAAATTGTAAAAAGCCTCATAATCCCAAGTAACAAAGTGTAAAGTGGTTTTCATCAGGCGACAATCAAGCAGTGATGTTGAGGATAGTGAGAAGGGCACCTCTTGAATGTGAGAAACATGATCATTGGTTTTGCATAGACATGGGCAAATCTCTTAAATGTGAGATAAAATAGTCAAAAAGGCCCTGAAATAGTGCACAGGATTCCTGAGCTTTCATGAAACAATTCTAATTCTTTGTGTGTCAGAAGAGACTCTTAATTTAATGGAATTTTTAATCCCTTCAATGATAGGTCAGCTTGAAAAGCATCACTGTTGTGCATTTTAAACAGATCCCACAACTTTAGCTACAGCAGTTCCAGACTCTGCTGCTTTAAAGATCAGCCAATCCAGGAATTGGGAAGTTGGACGCAAACATCTCCACTTCTTCCTTTAGTTGTTTAATCTTGCTCTGGTGGTCCTTGTCAGTCATCATCCTCTCCTTGAATTCCTTGAGTGATGCCTTTGCGCCAATATCTCTCTGAATCTCCAGTGTTATCTGAATCCCTGTATAGGTTAAAACAAACCTGGTTTGCACAAATCAACCTGGCAGCAGGACATCTACACAGAGCAGGTAGCCAAAAGGTCCACCAGTCACTATGGATGGGAAAGACCTCCCTTTCCCCATTCCTTCTCCAGCTGGGATTGACTTCCCTCCCCTCAATCCAGCTTGAACTGATATCCTTTCCCGAACCCAGCTCGGATTGAATCTGCCTGGACCAATCCAGCTTGGATCGACTCCCCTCAGCCCTGGATCCAGCTGGGTTTAACTCCCACCCGCCTTGAGTGAGCTCGGATTGATTCCTCTCTCCCTGAACAGGCTGGAAATGATACTCACTCCACGGATCCAGATGGGATTGACTCTACTCCCAAATTAATCACCCCACTCCCCCAACACTGTTTCCTACTTCAGCTGGATTGACCCCCTCCACCATCCCATATCACCCCAAACTGATAAACACCTTAACATTTGTGATTCTGCTGCCCCTGGTGCTGTGTTCTCCCCCTATCCCAACAGCAAAACCCTTTAAATTCCAGGAAATCCCAATGCCACTTGCCCCTCGCCTCTGAAGTGACTTCAGGACTCTAACCAGTACCAAACAACTTACCTCTGTGAATGAAAGCCGCTACTGTGTGGAAATGCTCCTCCTGGAACCCTCGGGAGGTGAGGGCTGGTGTTCCCAGGCGGAGGCCACTGGGACGCAAGGCACTTTTGTCACCTGTGGACAATGAGAGGTTAATGACCCATCACTACCATCTCATCACATCACAGCTTTCCCATGTCCTGAGACAAATTTACTCTCAAGCAGTTTTTATCTTTCTCCATGGTCACAGAAGCTGGACTGGGGCATTCAGCCACCCAGCACTGTTCCATTAACCAAAACAAATGAATCGTGTATGATTCAAGCCTTAACTCCATCACCAATCCCCCTGGTTCTATAGCCTTCATTACTTTAGGCTAATAAAAAAATTTCTCACCTCGATTTTGGTATATTGAAATAACATCCCCAGCCTATTTATTATTAACTTGTGGGATGTGGGGATCATTGGCTGAACCAGCATTTATTACCTGTCCCTAGTTTACATTTAGACTTATTTAATGTTGTCACTTGTACCGAGGTACAGTGAAAAGTGGATATCGTCGCTACGTTCCAGCGTCATCTTGGATTATGGAATAAATTACAGAATAAATTGTACAAATGGTAAAATACTGAATAAATTACTAATAAATTGATATTACTAAAACTGAAATAGCTTCAAAAGTTCATCTTTTCCTCCCCGTAGACTTTGCCCTCTCTGCTCCTCCAAATGCCACCTTCTGTCATCATGCCCAGGTTCCTGGCAATGTGCTCCTTTTCTACCGCCACAGGAGCCATCACTTCCACGTCCGTTGCCTCCATCTTGGAAACAGTCACGCTGCACGGGTCCCATACGTTTTCCAACTGACAGGTTCTGGCTCCCTTGTTGCTCTTGAGAAGGTGGTGGTAAGCTGCTTTCTTGATCCACAGCAGTCCATCCTCTGTGTGTTGACCCACAATTCCATTAGGGAGGGAATTCCAAGATTTTGGACCAGCAGCAGTGAACAAACGGCAATATATTTCCAAGTCAGGTTAGTGGCTTGGGGGGGAACTTGAAGCTGGTGTTCCCATGTATTTGCTGCCCTTGACCTTCTAGATGGAAGAGGTCATGGATTTGGAAGGTGCTATTTGAGAATCTTTGGTGAATTTCTGCGGTGCATCTTGTAGATAGCACACGCTGCTGCTACTGAGCGTCAGTGGTGGATGGACTGCCAAGCAAGTGGTTGCTTTATCCTGGGTGTGTCAGCCCTGTTTGAACTTGGAATTGTTAGAGTTGCAACCATCCAGGCAAGTGGGGACTATTCCATCACACTCCCGACTTGTGCCTTGTAGATGGAGGACAGGCTTTGGGAGTCAGGTGGTGAGTTACTCGCTGCAGTATTCCTAGGCTATGACTTGCTCTTGTGTTTATGTAATGAGTCTAGTTGATGTTCTGGTCAATTATTGCATTTGAATATGGACTGCTTCGGTATCTGAGGAGTTGCGTATGGTGCTGAGTATTGAGCAATCATCAGCAAACATTGCCACTTCGGACCTTAGGATAGAGGGAAGATCATAAATATAGCTATGCTACAGCTCATAACCCACTGGAAGGTGTTCCAGATTTCCACTGTTTCGATGAGGAAGTGTTTCCTGAACCTTGAACAACTCCGTTCTATTTTATTAAAGCTGATTTTTTAAAAACTCTTTCACAAAACCTGGGCATTAACACAAAGGCTAGCATTTGCTGCTCATCCTAATTGCCCATGAACATAGTGGTAGTGCCATTTCGGAGGGCAGTTAAGCAACCAAATTTCTGTGGGTCTGGAATTCCATGTTGACCAGATTGGGTAAGAAGAGATTTCCTGCCTTAAAAGGAAATGATTTTACAACATTCATCAATAATTTCATGGTCTCAATTCCTGAGAACAGCTTTATACTCCAGATTGATTAACTGAATTCAAATCCCACCAGCTGACTTGATGGGATTTGAACTCCAAACCATTCGCTTCAATCTCCGGATTTCTAGTCTAGTGGCATTATTTCTATGTCTACTAAGGGATAAATGTCGATTACTCCTAAAAATAATCCTATGGGAACTTTTATAGTCACCAGAGAGGGTGGTCAAAGCTTCAGTTTATTGTCCCATCAGAAAGATAGCAGCTCTGATGATGCAGCACTCCATGATGGACAACTCTGGATAACACATTCAGCTAACTCTTTAACCTTCATGTTCAAATTCTGTCATGATCCCTACTGAAGACATGTTTAATTTTATTCAATACTAGTAAGATTTAACACTTGCGAATGTCTGAGTGGTAGTATCAAAGTCCAACAACACAATCACTCCCCCCAAAGTAGGGGCACAATCTCTATGTGCCTACTCTGGGTCTTGGCTCAAGTACCGACTCATCAGCCAATGGGACACGTGCTACCTCTGAAATCTTTTCTCAGAATTTCCTTCCACAGCAAAGTTTATGGTGGCAGATTTAAGCCAATCTTTACCTCACTATTATTTGAGAGGCCAATCGCAAAAGTTTTTATTTATCCACATGTCCACACATACCAGGTCAAACTCTCAGGATTGATGATTTCCCACACCCAGGCTCTGATCAGCCTGTAAGTGTGTCAGTACCAGTGCCTGACCAAAGCAAGGAAAATATGGTGGCCCTGACACCACGTTATTTTCTTTCCACTCTCACTGCCTCTGGATCTTTAAGATTTTGCTCAAATGTTTAACTTTTCAGTTCTCACACAGCAGCTTTCCAGTTTGTGTACTCTGAGATTTGAGAATTTACTGCTTATCATTTAGATCCTTTTGTGAAGAGATCCTTTTGTGAAGTTCAGGGTCAAAAAAGGTCAATGTATGTCCCAACCACAATTCTGCATCAAATCGTCTGAGCTGCTTTCACTCAACATGCATTGCAAGCAGGAATGAAATAGTTCAGTACAAGATTAAGTCTCCCAGTAAAATGAAGTTCAACTGGCAGTCCTGAATGACTTCTGCAAGATTGGAGATGCTTTCTTTTGGATGAGAAAATAAATTGAGACCAAATCTGCCATCTTGGATGGGAACCCATTAAAAAAACCTACCTCTTTGATTAAGCTTTTGCTCACCTGTCCTAATATCTTTATGTGTGACTCACTGTCAGATCAGGCCCTCTAACCCCATCCCCAACACTAAAGGTGCTATTTCAATTTAAGTCGTGGATGCAGACCTGGACAAGTATTCTTGTTGCAAGCAATGGCGCACTTTTCCAGAACCTTCTCAGCTCTGCCCCCATCTGTATCTTGGTTGCGCAAATCCACCAGAATCAGATGATTATCTGAGCCACCTGTACAAGGAAGAAAGGAAAAAGCGGAGGCAAGCATTTCACATTGCAATCCAGTACAGTTCTTCACATTCCAGCACTGAGAGAGTTAAATAGCAGATTTGTAATAATTGTGAGGATTGTAATTCTGGGTGGATAGGGGACTGTAGTTATCAAAGGTGAGTTACGAAGTTACAAGAAGTCAAGTAATTTGATAGAAGTTTTATGATTATGACCAGCTATTTTCGGATATGTAGGGAGGGACAGTCTGAATTAGTCAGATTAAGGACACGTAAAAAAAAACTAAAGGAGAAGATTAAAACAGGCTACTTCTAAGTTCCCCTAATGGTCGTCTAAATTTGGAGTTAAGCATCCTGCATTGATCAGTGAGGAGGCTAATGCCTGCTTTAGGCCTTACTCTACTAGACTGAGTATTGCAAAACTGAGCAGGATCCTGGTCCATTGCAACCGAATTCTCAACTATTCGGAGTGGCCCAAGCAGTAATTGTAAATAGAAATTACATTGTTATTTAAACGCAACAGCATGCCCTTCTCCCTGCCCTCTACTTCAGACACCAGAGTTTCTGAATCAACTCCTAAGGGAGTTTCAAAATATACAAAAAAATTGTGAGGCAAATGCTATCTTGTCAATCTCAGCCCTCTTAGTCTTTCTTACTCTTTACCTTTCAAATGGTTCTTGCTTTCTTCCTCAAGGCCTATAGGACTTTCAAACCCAAAGTAACTCTTGGAGAGTGGTTTCACCTGAAAACTATGAAATAGCAAGCACCTGAATGGAACTATTTCTTACAGAAAGGAAGTAAATGTATGGAATAAGACTTGGTCATTAGTGATCAACAGAAATGACAGCAAAGCAACTGAGCCATGTCCTCCAGAAGGGATCAAGGACTATGAAAGAGTGAGGACTATTTGGGATCTTAATTACCCTAAAAGAGAACATTCTACATAAATCTAAGGAGGACTCTGAAAGAGAGGAAGTTCACACACAGAAACAGACAGTTCAACATGGCAAAGCATGACACATCACCATTTGAGGATGACAGATAGTAGGAACTGCAGATGCTGAAAAATCTGAGATAACAAGGTGTAGAGCTGGATGAACACAGCAGGCCAAGCAGCATCAGAGGAGCAGGAAGGCTGACGTTTCGGGCCTAGACCCTTCTTCAGAAATGGGGGAGGGGAAGCGGGTTCTGAAATAAATAGGGAGAGAGGGGGAGGCAGATAGAAGGTGGATAGAGGAGAAGATGGGTGGAGAGGAGACAGACAGGTCAAAGAGGCGGGGATGGAGCCAGTAAAGGTGTGTAGGTGGGGAGGTAGGGAGGAGATAGGTCAGTCCAGGAAGGACGGACAGGTCAAGGGGGCGGGATGAGGTTAGTAGGTAGGAAGTGGGGTTGCGGCTTGAGGTGGGAGGAGGGGATAGGTGGGAGGAAGAACAGGTTAGGGAGGCGAGGACGAGCTGGGCTGGTTTTGGGATGCGGTAGGGGGAGGGGAGATTTTGAAGCTTGTGAAATCCACATTGATACCATTGGGCTGCAGGGTTCCCAAGCGGAATATGAGTTGCTGTTCCTGCAACCTTCGGGTGGCATCATTGTGGCACTGCAGGAGGCCCAGGATGGACACATCATCTGAGGAACGGGAGGGGGAGTCGAAATGGTTCACAATTAGGAGGTGCAGTTATTTATTGCGAACTGAGCGTAGGTGTTCTGCAAAAACTGCTTTTATTCAGCTCCAGGGAGGTTTGAGGGACAGTATCATTGGCTGACAGCAACAGAGAAAGATGTGATTTCAAAACATTAAACTGGTGCATTCTCCTCAAAGTCATTTAACCTTGATTCAAAACTGCAACTGAGCTCAATTAGGCTAATCAAAGTCATTTGTTCATTTCATTCACTCTGGTAAACAGGACTGCACTTTGACCCATTCCAACCCAAACTATAATTAATCCTTACATTGCCATAATCTTCAAGCTGTTTGAATAAATCAAAACCCTCTCACACTGGCGAGAAGTGCCTTAAAAGGACTTGGTCGCAGGGATTTTTGAGGAGATGGTTTGGCTTTTAGGAAAATGGTGAAAAAACACCTGTCTTTTCCTATAAGCATTCAAAAGCTAGACTCAAAGTCAAACAGAACTGGGCAGTTCTGCTATGGTACCAAGCTTTTTTTTTTTTTTTTAAAAAAGATTTGAGGCAAGGAAAGACTGAGGCAGGTCAGCATTTACACAGAATTGAGATCTGAGCCAATAAGTTAAGTATGTGAGACGATTTGAACATACACTAGATGAAAGAACAGGGTGGGAATAGTGCCACTTGGCATATAGAAAAAAAGACAGTTCAAGGACAAAGATTCCCCAAATGACATTTGCTTCATATGTTTTTTGGAAACATTAATTCATCAGAGACCTGGATATAACTTTAGATCTGCATTAATCATATCACACATTAATAAGAACCCTTGTTTAGGTATAAGCTAATAGCAAGTACTTTATCGAAATTGATTGGCTAAAATTTTAGAGGTCAATTCAAATACTTGCTAAACTGGTCACAAAAATGGCTGATTCAATCTATAGGGACAGTGTCACTCCCAATATTCTCACCAGTAACAATCTTGTATCCCAGATTCACCAATGCTGATGAAAGAGCTTTGCAGTTTGCCACAATCTGTTTCTGGTAAAGCTTGAATTCTGGAGTCATAGCCTGTTTGAGTGCAACAGCAACACCTGCCCAGATAGAGACAGGAGAGATTTCATTACAGACCACACAAGGTCAAACCTTTCCCATATCACTAAAATAATTCACGTGCAATATAGTTCCAATCAGAATAAATAAAAAACACTGTTAATTGCAGTCTGAGGCAAGAGAAATGCTCTAGTATTTACTGATAAGAAAGATAGAGAGAAGAGAGACTTGTGGGGGATGTGTTTGTGTAAATTGTTGAGAGTGGCAGGGCAACTAGAGAAATTAAATGAAAACGCAAACAGGAACCAGGGGTATTTGAAAAGAGGCTTGGGGTGATAAAGCAAGGAACTTGTGTCGAACCTTAATAAAATACTGGTTTAGCTTCAATTGAAGTACTGTGTCCAATTTGTGGCATCAATCTTTAGGAAGGATATGTTTTTTGGAAACATTAATTCATCAGAGACCTGGATATAACTTTAGATCTGCATTAATCATATCACACTGAAGGTTTGAGAGAGGATATAGAAAAGACTTATATGAGTAATTGCAGAGATGACAGATTTCAGTTCCAAGAATAGATCGGAGAAGCTGGTGCTAGTCTGGTTAGAGATGAGGGGAAGCAGAAGTTAAGACGAGATTTAAAAGCTGTTCAAAATCTTGAGGGGGCTGGACAGCGTAGATGGAAACTATTCCCATTGGCAGAAGGATTAAAAACCAGATTACAAAAGAGTAATCTGTAAAACACCTTCATTTTCAGAATAGCACCAAAGGGTGAATCTACTGCAGACATTACCTGCGATGGCATGGTTGTGGGGCCCACCTTGCAGGCCTGGGAAAACTGCCTGATTGATCAGACTTTCCAGGTTGTACATGATCTCCTTTCCAGTCTTCGGGTCAATGCTACGGACTCCTGCAGAGTGAGCAAAGCAGAAGCGTGTGTGTTATCAGCAATCCAAAGAAGATTTTTTTTATTTTAAAATTCATCTTACAATGTGGGAATTGGTGACAACACCAGTGGTTATTGCCTAGGCCTTGACAAGGTGAAGATGTGCTACTTTCTTGAAGTATTGAAGGTTTCTGCCATTAAAGTAAGGGGGAGAAGTAGAGAGGACAATACACAAATCCAGTGTATCTGCAATAACAAACACCATATCATTATGGACTGTGTGCTTTTTACCCAATCTTCTTAGGTTGGGATTTGTTTTGTCAGGTACCAAACATTCTCTAGGATTGCTCCCGAATAGTCAGGAGGTCCAGTTATATATTTGTTTGGAATGGAGTAGCTGAAATCCAGTTTACATTTCTCTCATATTCCACAAAACACAAAGTACAAGGTCAACAGCATGATAGAATACTCTGCAACTGCCTGAATGAGCACAAATCAAACTACAGACACAAGAAGTTTGACATCACTCAGGACAAAGCAAGCCACTAGATTGACAATCTTAAACATTCCTTCTCTTCACCACCGGCGCACAATGGCAACAGCAGACACCATCTACAAAATGCACTGCAGCAACCTTTTAACAGAACCTTCCAAACTTACGGGCTCTATCACCTGGGAGTAGTGCAGCAGACATATAGGAACAACTGCAAATGCGCTTCCACGCCACACCTCTTCCTGATTTGAAAACATCCCCACATGATTCCTGCGGAAATATCCTAGAAGTTAATCCCTAACAGCATTTTGGGTGTTCCTACACCACATGGACTGCTGCAGTTCCAAAAGCAGCTCTGCACCTCCTTTTTCAGAGCAATTAGAACGAATAACAAATGCTGACCTAACTGATACCAACCACATCCCATGGAAAAAAAAATTGAAAAAGTTGGTTGGTTGTAACGTACCAATTTAGGGTGACACTGCTAACAGTGTAAGATGCTGGACTACTAACCATGGCACTCATATCAGTAAACAACTGCCGAACATGTCACCAATGATACGCAGATAAATTACAAACTCAAAAACAGTAGTTTACTCAGACAACGGGATCAGGAAACACTCCAGTCAAATATCTTTTCCTCACCTTTTCTGTAGAAGATCATCCCAGACCTGCAGCCACGGAGAGTCTTGTGCGTTGTTGTGGAGACCACATCACTGTACTCGAACGGAGAGGGCACCACCCCGGCTGCCACTAAGCCACTG